TCCCTAAGCCTACTGATGAATTTGAGCATCACCAAAAATGGGGTATTAGATGCCTTATGATATGATGAAACAAAAGGCACACAGCATTAACTATGAAATACTTTCGCCAAGAAAATTGAACTTGAATCTAATCAAGCCTCTAGATCTAGCTACCAGTGTATAGGCAATAAGGGGTGTTATAGAAACAAGTTAAATGACACCACAAGGCAGCAAAGCAGCTAAACTCAAAATGTAATACATTCTAAAAGGCAAATGACCTGGTTTCTCCAACAAATTAACAGCATGGCAAAAAGGGGGCTGATGAAGAAGACTGGATATTATAGGGGGGAAAATTTAAGAGATATAAAAACCAAATGTAATACATGGACTTTGAATCCTGATTCATACCCACCCACCCATTAGCACATCTAATGAAATTAATAAGAAGGCCTTAATGTCATCTAATACACAGCCCATATTAAAATGTCCTCAGTACCCTCAAAAATATTTGTTTATAGTTGGTTAGTATGAATCAGGATTCAAAGTCCATGTATTACATTTGGTTTTTATATCTCTTAAATTTTCCCCCCTATAATATCCAGTCTTCTTCATCAGCCCCCTTTTTGCCATGCTGTTAATTTGTTGGAGAAACCAGGTCATTTGCCTTTTAGAATGTATTACATTTTGAGTTTAGCTGCTTTGCTGCCTTGTGGTGTCATTTAACTTGTTTCTATAACACCCCTTATTGCCTATACACTGGTAGCTAGATCTAGAGGCTTGATTAGATTCAAGTTCAATTTTCTTGGCGAAAGTATTTCATAGTTAATGCTGTGTGCCTTTTGTTTCATCATATCATAAGGCATCTAATACCCCATTTTTGGTGATGCTCAAATTCATCAGTAGGCTTAGGGATTGTCTATCTTATCCCTCCACTTGTAAAGTCCTCCATCAACTTCTCACCTAATGGTTTTAGCACCATGGAGGATTGCTGTCTGGATCCATTATTTCAGTATGGGTTGCAGAATGGTGATTTTCTAATTTTATCAGCCTTTTTGCATTTTTTAAGTAGAATTCTAGGAAAAAAGAATCTTTTCAACTCTTTGGTTATCATGAAATACCATTTGTATGAGAAAGGCAGGATAAACGTTTGATTCCCCCCCTCTTTATCAGTTTCTAGAATAATGAGTTGGTGTCCTATCAACCTCCAATAGTGACCAGTAAGCTTTCATAGTATTATGAATTCCTGAGTTTTTATATACTTGATTTGTTTCCATCAAATGCAGTCATTATACTATTAGGCCAGCAGAAACCCCTCAGGTTGATTCGAGTCCTTGTGAGATGACCCCGTCTTGTTATTGTCCTTGCTTTCTAGTACAGCCAGTTCACCTTACATATTCCCTGGTTCTGGCATTAGCTGTTTTTCCAAGGAGCCGTAGTTCCTTTCAGGAGAAAATAGTAGTCCTAAGTTCTTGAACATTTGAGGTCAAGCTTTCTCCTTCCCTACTCCCTTTTAAGGGTACAAGAAACATTAATTTCCTATCATCCTCAAAAAATCTGTGTGTCTTGAGAAGTCTTGGACCTATATATACTATCTTATAAAACTCTGTCTCTGAGACCCCACAAGCAGTGTTCTTGGTGAGGGAAAGGGCAAGTGAAAACATCTACACTCTGGGCTGACTCATCTGTGAGGAGATTCAAGTAAGCACTGGGGAGTGGCCTCAGACAACTGAACAGTGTTTTAGGGGCCCTTTTCTTATGCATTCCTGGTCTGATTTCTTACCAGTGGGTGATTCTTTGAGGGTTGTTCTCTCCAAGGCACACTCTGTGGAAGTCCCCTTCTTGTGGTGGACAAGATCTCTGTACCTACTTATTTTCTTTCTTGGGGGGCTTTAGGTAAGGTGATACTAACTGCTTGAAATTGACTATTTTTTGTTTCCTTACCTTTCATTTGTAGGTACCTAAGAAAAAAGCTAAGGGAAATAAGGCAGAAATTCGCTTTAACCAGCTGGTCGAACAATATAAGCAGAAATTATTGGGACCTTCTAAAGGAGCGCCTCTTGCAAAGAGGAGCAAGTGGTTCGACAGTTGATGCCAGCAGACTGGAGACTGGATAAGAAGCTGGATTGTGCGCTGCTTGGTAAAGCTCCCAGGCTCCTTCCCAGCCCCAATGTCATTTACTGAGGGAAAGAAACCCCTGATTGCACTGCCACTTTGTTGGGGGGCTCCCTGAGCTGTGCACATCTGGACTCTGTGTGGTTAACCATGAAATCTCAGAAAAACATTGTGATGCTTCTTGCCCATTGTCTAGATTATCATGTGAAGTTGTGTCTGTAATTATTATCCATTTTAACTGTTTCTCAAATGGAAACAATTGTAAAATGCATTCTTGAGTGCTAAATTTTTAAGATGTATATTTTAAGTGTCTTCTCTAAATAAGATATTTTGTGGCTTTTTGAATAACAGACTCTTATTTCTAATATATGTGAATCCTTTGTTATTTATGAACATTTTTGACATCCCTAACTAATTCAGTTATAGAGTCCTACATACTGCAGGAATTGATTAAAAAAGGGCAGAGAAAAATGATTTCCAGCCTATTCTCTGAGGGTGGGAGAAACTTGGAAAGTAATTAAGGGGGATGGGGTCTGGCAGAGAACATGTGATAATTATTTGCTAAATGAGTGGGTTATTGTTGGTAGTTGACAAGAGATCAGTTTGCAGTGGTCCACAGACACTAGCCTGACTGGTGATAACCTGCATTTTCTATCACCGAACACCTCCACCTGAGGACTTAGAGAAGAAAAGGATGGCAGACAGAGCAGTGAGCTTGAGATCTAGGACCTTCCTTTACCTAATGGATGGCCTTGAAGCAGACACATACTCTGTGAATTTTAGTTTCTTCTGTGGAATGAGGAGTTTAACTGAAGTTTTGTGTGATACTTTCCAGCTCTAAACTCTTTTTCTAATTCATTGTTATGCATATTCATATTCTTTCTCATTTTTTTATATATGTTTTTATTGATTTCAGAGAGAGAGATAGAAACACCAATGATGAGTCATTGATCAGCTGCTTTCTGCACGCCCCTTACTGGGTATCGAGCCCACAGCCCGGGCATGTGCCCTGACAGGGAATCAAACCGCAATCTCCTGAGCCACACCGGCCGGACTATTCTTTTTCTTTTTAATCTCAGAGAAGGTAGAGATGACTTTCATTACTTTTCAGAATTTACAGTGTCACAAAAGCTGGGAGGGATGGTGAATATCAAAAGGATCATAATAGCCTGAAGGGATGGACTGAATCTGATAGGATGAAAATCACAGGAAACAAACATAAATTCCCTCATTTGGGTCCAAAAACCCTACTGAACAAGTTCTGGTGGGAGAATTTGAGGCAATTGATTTTGCATTGTGGAGAAACTGTGTGGCTGCCACAATGTACTAGGACCATTAGGCTGTCCTAGTGGAAATGGGACGCCTTGAGTGGGTTGCTAATTCTCTGGGCTGGCCAGGCCACACTTGTGAGACAAATGTAGTGATGAAGTTGGTCCAGGAAATCAAAATGTCAGGTGGAAGGTAAATTGATCGTGAGTTGGTTGTTAAAGTTGGTTGTGGTAAGTGAGGACTTGTTATACTGTTCTCTCTGCTCCTGTGAACATTTAAAGTTTTCTGTAATAAGTTAAAAGTCAGATGAGTAGCTGGCACTGACCACTTGAGAAGAGAATTCCTGCGGTGTAATAGCTGTTGGTCGAGCCCAGAAGGGTCTAAGGAGCAGATGAGTAAAAGTCACAAGTAATCAGATTTGGGTTCAGTATAAGGGAGAACTTTAATGTAGGCATGAGTCCCATCTCTGGAACGGTCTAAGTGTTGATGTAGTAAGTCTGTGATGTCCAGGGGATTGGGCTAAAGGAGGTGGTAAAGATCAACCAGCTCTTTATTGTTTGGCTCCAAGATGACCTGAAGATATGTTTCATGTCTCACCCTAGACCCTGAGGCCCCTTTCAAGAGAAAACCTGGTCATTCTCTGTGTAGTATCCTTCATATAGTTGGTCCTCATTAAGTCTGTGCCATGGTTGGGATGGCTTAGCTCCAGTGGTTTCTCATCTCACTTTTTAAAAAATTGAGGTGTAATTGACATACATTATTACACCCCACGACTTCTTTTATAATTGGAAGTTTTGTACCTTTGACTCCACAAATTTCATACCCCCCCCATCTGTTCTATATTGTATTTGTCTTTCTCTGACTTATTTGACTTAGCAAGGTCCATCCATGTTGTCACAAATAGCAATATTTCATTCTTCTTTATGGATGAATATTATATATACACACATTTGTTCTCATCTCACTGTGAATGAAATTTCAATTTTTTCCCAAAGCATGCAGTGTCCTAGGTTCATTAGCCCCTGTCACCTCTCCTACCTCATCTTTATCCACTCTTTTCCTTTCATTTGTTTTTGGCCACACCAGCCTTCCTTCAGTTCATGTGACTCTTTACCACCTCAGAGCCTTTGTGTTTGTTTTCTTGGCCTGGAGGGCTTTTCACTCAGATCTTTTGCTTATTGCTCAAATTTCCTCGGGGCTGTCACCGCCTATTGAAGCTCTTCCCTGACTAAAGTAGAGCTTTTCTTCCCCTTCCCTCTGTCCTGCAGGCACTGAATTCTGTGACCCTGTTTATTAGTATTTTTCTAGCACTCATCTCTACCTGAATATTTGTTTCCCTAGTTTGAACGTATTGTGAGAGGAACTTGATCTCTCTTGTTCAGTTATAGAGGCCCAGCACCTAGAATTGAGCTTGGCACACAGAAGGTATTCAGTGAGTATTTTTTGAATGAAAAAAATAAGGGGGCAAAGGAAGAAACAGTACTTATTAGACCAGAGAAAGAATTAAATATAGCCCAAAGTTCTTGATTCCCTAGTGCCAGCCTGATGCTATAATAAATGATGCTTTCTTCAGAACTATTGCTGACCCAGGGACACAGCTATTTCATTGCACTGTCTTGGGAAACTAATGAATGCTCCAAAATGTCCTTAATTGGTTTAAAGACAGATAAAGCAGAGAGAACTGAAGGACAGGGACTTTATCTCCAGTTACCTTGAGACAGTATGACTTGGGGAGTTTGAAACATTCTTGCAATAACTTGGCAATACATCTTTCCGAAGTCTGTACACTGTTGAGGGAGTAAGATACTTTGTTAAGGAAATACATGGAATATTCACAACCTGCCTGTCAGTAGATCTGTTTTCCCTTGGCCAACTCTGCTCACCAGATGCTTTTTTCCCTAGTATACAGATATGTATAAATTAACATTCAAAAATATATCTTAACATTTAGGATAGATGAAAATTAGCGTTCCTTCAGATAGCTTTGCCAGATTTTCTTAGATCTAAATATTTCTTTTGTCAGCTTTAGCAACCCAGGGTGTTCAAAACATTCAACTACTTGGAAAGTTACTGCACAGTTCTTTTTTTTTTTTTTTTTT